GGACCGTTCGTTCTGTATGTCTGGAACGGCCGGTCCACGTGTATTTCTAGACCGTCCGTTCCGGCTTTCGGATTTTTGGAAAATAAACCAAAATTAGGGTTAATCACTTTATAAGAAGGAGATTAAAAACACTAATGAATGAGAGCTGACTTGGAGAACTTCTACAGACTTTTGGGTGAGCCAAGAAGGTCTAAGAGGTGATCTAGGTCTCGTTTTCTCGAAGCACTTTACCGAATAGTTGATTCGGGTCCTAGCAGACAAGTTCCAATCGTTGGAATCCATCCCTAGGTGTGGATACGTGTAGAGCGCGAGGTAATCTTCCTCCCTTTCATGGTCGGACGAACACATCAATTGATACAGGTCCTGGATCGATTGAGGTAAGCGTTCTAACGTTTCTACCATTCATACATGCATGGTTCTAAGGTTTCATATAAAATTTTTGTTTTACATCCGTTGCACAAACCGTAGAATCGATCTCATAGAAATAGGACTCGCTTTAGAGATCTCAGGAATCCCAACATTTTGCAGCTTGATCTCCTTCCTCTTCCTCCTATGCTTCTTTCTCCTTGAACGCTCCTTTGAATCCTTCAAGAACTTGCTCCAAATTCTCTCTAACTCTCTCCTAATTGATGTTGAAGCTCCTTAATTGGTTTATGCCCCTTCGTACCTCTCTTAAGGTGCAACAAAGTGTGGTTATTCCTTTCTCTTTTCGTGAGGGGCGTCAATCAGGGAAAAAAGTGTTTTTTTTTTCGACGATCGACCTATCATGCTTGACAATCGGTTGATCATCGACTATAGTTGTTATAATGGTGGGGTCCTTTTGCCACGATCGACCAATCGTCTGTCGACAATTGATCGATAGTGTTTTCTTAATGATTAGCTCAGAATCCATGATTGATCTATCGTTCTTGAGACGATACATCGATCTTAACCTCTGAGGAAGAACTCCGAAACCATAATCGATTTATTGTCCAATGATGATAGGCGGTGTCCTCTGAGAAAAAAATTTCAAAATCACGATCGATCTATCGTCGAATAACGATAGGTCGATCGCGTCTTCTGAGAAAAATTCTCGAGACCACGATCGATCGATCGTCCGAGGACGATAGGTCGATTGTGCTCTCTGAACAAAATTGCTCAACTTCTCCAATAACACGATCGGTCGATTGTGATCCCACAATAGGTCGATCTTGTGTCAAGCTTGCAACGTCTCTTGTTTTTAGTTTTTAGTACTTTGGGGTGTTTCCACGCCCACTCCACATGGTTTGATTCCCTCGAAAATATCTCGTTTACGTCTTAACTACAGTTTTTCTACAAAATATAAAAAATATCAAAGTCGGAATGTAAAATGAAAAAAAAATATCTATAAATATATAAATATTGTGATATATGATAGATATCCTACATAAAAATATAGCAATATAAACATGTCATCAATGAGTTTCTCTTCTCCCTCTTTCTTCCTTATTCCTTGATATTTCCTATATTTTTTTTTATGAACCGTGAATAGATCCATGATTGTAATTTTTTTTTAAAAAATTTTGACTCCCGAACCAAGTCACAAATCGGCCGAATTGGCCCATGACGAGGTGGCTCGTCAGTGCTGTTTTTTCTTTCTTTTTTTCAAGCTCATATTTTTCCCAACTCGTCTCGAGAAAAACGAGTTAGTTTGCAAACCGTCCTAGGTTCGTTTGTGCATCCTAATTTTTGGATAATTGAAACTTCTTACTATGATTGGGCTTGGACCCATAACCTCCATGATTTCGTATTTGGGCTGACAAAGGCACGAGTATTTGCAGCATTTGAGTATCTCTCTTATCGTCCGTCCATTTATTGCAAATTTGTAAGCATGCGAGTCATAAAATTCCTCAGCCCTAAACCCTAATTTATATAATTAACTGTAACTAAAGCTTTATTAAAGTTGATCAGTCCACATGAAAAGGTTACACTTTCACGCATCAACATTTTCCAAGCCACGAAACATACCCCACATTTCTGAAACGATCAATTACAACCCCTCACAAAATGTGTCGACCATTTATTATGGCTCATTTCTTGTTTCGCTCCAGAAGCTGCTTAAACCAGTGAGCAGACATCTTGGGATACCTCTTCAAGTTCTTGTAATCAACGTACACGATTCCAAACCTATATATAACATTTTCCACAAGAAAATTGGTACGTGACAATGAAAAATGTATAAAAATTTGTGTTATTATGACATAATAGCTACAGATACTAATTCAGGAAGTTTATAAATTCATTTCTTCGATATATTGCGATCAATGTAAATGATTACGCACCTTGAAGTGTATCCCAATTTCCACTCGAAATTATCGAGCAGCGACCATGCAAAATATCCGGCTACATTGGCTCCATCGTCAACCGCCTTCTTAAGCTGCGTCAAATATCCTCTATAGAATCCGATTCTCGTTGTGTCATGTAATCCCTGAGATAGAGTAACATTCCCCGGATCATCCATACCTGTGAAAAAGAACCATTGTTGAAATTTTTTTAACATTTTGCATAATTTAAAGATAGATTATTTCAAAGAAAATTATGCATTATATCGTCTATATATATATGAGCATAATATATTAAGGAAAGGGACAAAGAATTGGAGAAAGGATGTAAATACCATTTTCGGAGAGAATCACGGTCGGGTTTCCGTATCGTTCCTTAATATACATCAAGGCTTTGTACATACCCCATGGTACGTTGTATAACCAATACGAGTTCGCCTTTTGTCACACAACATGTTTGAATTTAGTTCATCATTACATAAAAAAAAAACTAACAAGGAAGAAATCTTGTAATCTTACCCTTGGTCCAATCGGCTTTCCCTTCTTGGAAACTGCATGTGTGCAAAGATCAAGTTCAATGTAAGAGAGGAGAATGCATACACAAACACAGACATATATATATATATATGACTGTTTTTGATCACTTGATGTTCGAGTTCTAATCAAATTTTGAAGCATTTTTGGCAACATATGTGAATATATATATGTGTGTGTGTGTGTATAAATAAAGAAAAGACTTACATGCGAAACCGGCGTTCCAATCTTGTTGATAACCAAAGTACTTTGGTGGGTTGGAGAGATGAGGATCATACATGTAGTAGGTCGTGTACTGGTTTATACCCACGAAATCCATCGACCCCTTTACCATTTTCACTTCTTCTTCCGAGAACTTTGGTAATCGATCGCCCACAATGTTCTGCATTGTCTTGGGGTACTCTCCGTACACAATTGGGTGAATAAACCTTCGAATTCGAATTCGGATAGAGTTATATATATATACATATACATATATATGTAACCCTATGCAAAAGTAAAAATTACCATCCGACATGGAAGTCTCTTGCTCTTTGGGCCGCCAAGTTATCGGCCTTCCCTCTCGTGAGAGGCTCATACCAAACAAAGTCCAAAAGAATTCCGATCCTCCCCTTTTGTTTTTCCTGACATTAAAAAAAGACATTGAATCGTTTTACGAAGTGGGGGTTATGTAAGCGTCGAGCAAAAAAGATGGGGGTCTTAATCGAATAAAATGTAAATTGCGGGGGTATAAGTGAAAAGATACCTGATATTTGAGGCGGTATCTCTGAACGGCAGAAGAGTGGGCCAGAATGAGATGGTGGGCGACGGTGTACGGTTCGGTGGCTGAGTCACCGGCGGTGCAGTTTCCAAAAGCCTTAGAGCATCTTCCCGGTGCGAAAAACCCGTTGTCGTACCCTAACGCGGCCACCACCCTCGGTTCATTGAACGTCATCCAGTTCTTCACTCTATCTCCAAATGTCTTGAAACAAAATTCCGCATAATCCGCGAAATCTCTCCTAAAAATTCCCCAGAAAAACTATTACAATATAGGGGTGGACGATTTGGTTACTGAATCAAATAATGTTTTTTTTCGATCTAAACCGTCCAAATTTTTTGAAAGGTATTAGTTTTAGAAAAACCGATTTTTTCATAATCGAACTGAATTTTTTTAAAAAATTTAAAAAACCGATTTTTTATAATTAAGATCTAATTTTTTTTAATAAAAATCGGAACCGAATCGAACCGAATATAGTATAATAACCTATTGGTACCTATTTTTGTAAATTCGAAAGAATCGAACCGAACCATTCCCGATCCGAATTCGAACTGAATATCGAAACGTCTACCTCTATTAGAATATATTATCGAATTATATCCGGTTGTTTAATTTTATTATTTCTAATTTGATTCATTTAAAAACTTGTTTATTATCAAAAATACTAATTTGATTTTTTCTCACATGGTTATATATAAACAGCATAACGATAACTTAAACTAAGTAAAAATTATTAGAATGTATGATTAAATGATATTGATGTAGTTTAATTTGATTCGATTTATTTTTTTAATATTTTTTATTAATGGAAATGTACTTTATTTCTATTATAAAGAAAATCCTTTGATCTAGTGTAGAAATTCCAGTATAATAATAAATTATGATATTAGAAAATAGCCATAAAAAGGAAATATATAATATCTGTATGATGAATGGATATGCTAAAATGTTACTTACACGACTTGTTTACCGAGCAAGCCCTTGTATCTCTTCTCCAAAGCCTCGGGAAGATCATAGTGATACAAATTCGCATACGGAGTTATTCCTACGCAGTAAAAATAAAAATTATCATTTTTACCGCATGCGCTGTTTGTATTTAATAGTAAAACAAAAAGATTCTTTTACCTTTCTTGAGCAAGTAATCGATGAGGCTGTTGTAGTAAGCAACTCCTTTCCAATTAACTTTACCGGTTCCTTCTGCACTCATTTCGAAATTAAATCTAAATAATATATTACTAAATTCATATATATATATATATATATGTAAAATCATATAAACATCGACCATATATATATATATATATATATAAATACATACCTGGGAATATTCTGGACCAAGAAATTGAGAATCTGTAAGCATCGAAGTTTAATTTGGCCATCAAATCCACATCTTCCTGAAATTATTAACTTATTTTAATTATTAAAAATTCGGATTCCATTCTATATGTTTCCCATTTTTCATAATTGAATGGGGATTTTAACAAAAATCAACATATATGTTAAAAGTACTAAGAAACAATCATTTGTAATTAAAAGAGATCAGATTAAAAAATATTTCCAATCAAATCATGAAATTAATCAAAGACGAGGATTACCTTGTAACGATGATATTGATCCACCGTCACATTAGCCGTGGCATTATTGGCTACAATGCCTGTTTTTTTTTTTTTGTTACATACAGAAGCGTAAAAAGAGAAATATTTTAACCTAAACATATAAACTAAGACAAAATTAACTAATTTAATTACCGGGGATCTTGACGAAGGTATCCCAGATGCTCGGGCCGCGTCCGTCTTGGTAAGTCTCGCCTTCGACCTGATAAGCTGACGTGGCAGTCCCGAACACGAAACCCGACGGAAAACTCCGCCGGCTGAGTCCGCCGGTGTCGAATATTGCGTCTCCGGACGATGAACCACCGGCAGAATCCGCCGCACCGGCGACTGCGACGAGGACGAGGAGGAGGAATGACAACGGAGGCGAGGGGAGGTTTCTCATGTTCCGGTTCGGAGGAGAGGAGATGGGTGTGAAGGGCTATTTATAGGCCAATAAAATTGCATTAATTACTCATATTATATATATATATATATATATATTGAAAAAAGAAATTATAATATCCAGGTCGAGGGCAATTTTCAAAGACATATCTAATGCTGTGTGGTTTTTTGCTTTGTCGAATATGGAATTTTATCTTGCCATCGCTGCGACGACGTCAGCAACTGTGACTAAATTAGTATCAAATATCAATTATTGAAATCGGCGTCAATTTCGAACCAAGACCCATATCGATTCTGACGTTTTTGAACAAATATATACGGATTTTGGCTGAGAATTATCTTTAATTTCAAGAATTAAGATATTAATTTGACACATTTTAACATTTAGAGTATTATATTATTAAATTAAAAGTTAAGATATTTATTTAATATATTTTGAAAAATCAAAGTATTTATATAAAATTTTCTCATTTTGAGATAATTATACCCAATAAATACAAAAGAAACTAGAAATGGTAAAGAATCAGGGACAAAGAAAAATTAAATGAATTTAAAAGAAATTGACAATCAAACCAAAAAGCCGCTAATATCCATCGAATTTTCAGCTTTTTGGTTACTCGTTCGATGATTTATCGTTGTCATCAATACTTCGTACGAGTATATTATAATAGATATACAGATATTGTACATTTTGTATAATTTTGAATTTTCTTCTAAAAATAATTCTTTTACGAATATATTATAACAAATGAAATTTTATCAAATCTGTTTTGTCTTACAATATGATACGGATCAGATCCCATATTTTTTATTTTATTTTATTGAACTTTGAGTTTATCAGTGGCTTAATGTTTTTAATATTTTTATGTTCAACATAATGCTTTTGGAAATTTTAATACGTTTGAGATACAATTTGAATTATTAGTATTCGAAATATAATTTTTATTATTTTACAAAATTTCGTACAACCCATAAACTCATATTAGTTATTGTGTTGATAATTTGTTAAAACTTCGTAGGAAAACAAGGAAACGAATCAATTTTTTTTTTGTTCTTTATGTTTTTTATGAATCTGAAAATGTATGTGTATCACATGTAGGTGATAGAGATTCACGATTATAAAGATGAATAACACGATAGCAAATGCGTACAATTCCAAAAAGAAAAAGCAATGTAGATGTGTAAATCGATGATCCGAGTTTTTCAATCAGAAATGGCTAAGTCAAATTTAGAAAATTTAGAGATTCTCATGAAGTTTAGCTGCGAGACTCTGATATATTGATACAAAAAATGGATAGAGAATTGTATAATATTTATAATTCGAGAATTGGGGAGTTTGACGATATTATTGATATTAATATCAAATTAATGAATTAAAAAATAATTAAATAAGATAAAAAGGAATTAATTTTACCCAAAAAAAGAATTAATCGGGTGTGTTTTGGTAAAAAACGAACAAGTTGAAACTTTTTCTCTAATGTTCATTTAAATAAATAAATATATATATATATATATATATATATATATATATTAAAAATGTGTTATGTTTTTGGTGGTGTACAGGTGAAATAGATGCGACCGAAGTGGGTTGTTTGGGTAAAAAACCCGTTTTCGGGCCCGGTTCAACCACGCCCGTTTCTTTAACGGACTAGAAAAATCTGGACCCGATCCACAGCTTGTGGTTTCTATCATTTGTGTCGTCTTAATTTGATAATCCTCTATTTATATTCAGTTATCTTAGAATTATGCTAACTAACCTCAAAAAAAAAAAAAAAAAATTATGCTAACTAAAATATCGAAGAAGTGGACGGTGAAGCTAACCGATGAAGTCGCCAGATCGTTGGCAAGACGTAGAACGGTCATGGAGGATTCTATGACAGATCTGTAGCTATCGGATGTGGTGTCCAAGTCTGTGTCAGAGTTCTTGTCGGAATAACAGGCACAGTACAGTTGCTGCAACACTATCGGGGCGAGAACCATCGTGTTTTGCATGTACTCGTCGAGACTCGGCTTGTCTCCATTCTTATACCATTTCGCCTCTCTTAAAAAGCATTTGCAAAAACCTGTCCACTGAAAAAACAAATATGAAAAAGGTGAGCATATATAACATTTGCATGTAGATCTATAAGGGTAATATCGTAAATGCTTTCATCTAGGGTTACACTATAAGTCTTCTATGATATATATATTGAAGGAATCCAAAACATATGTACTTACCGCATCTTTTAGATAAGGTATTACATTGATCCTTTTGTCTCTGACAACGTCAAACCCAATCTCATTGATTGTGTTGAATAAAACGAGAAAACAGAACCTCATATATTCAGGAAGTTCTTCCATGAGGTTCACATCCCACCTGAAAGCAAATCGATTTGGACAAAAGCCCGAATCATTAGGCATGGATCGATGGTCATATATATGGTCAATCAATCTTATTTACTTACTTTTCGACAGCCGCTGTAAATATTTCGAGCTCTTCCATGGTTCCGTATATGTCATATATGTCGTCGATCGTTGTCATGAACGAGAAAATCTTCGTCAGCATTCTTCTGCGGTATCCGAAACCAGGTTCATCGACCAGTGCAAGGCCCCATAAAAAGTTCTCCGTGATTCTATCTCTTGTAAAATCAAGTCGTTTCGCCAGTCCTATGTCGTTCCACCAGCTTCGTATACGAGAGAAAAATCGAAAAAATATATTATAGTTTTAGGATATATGACAGTGTTAGTTCTTACTAAGTTGTCAATCTAGCATATATATGCGTATACATACATATACACACACACACACATATCACGTTATGTACCTGGAGAGGTGCTTGAGGTCTTGTTGATGAACAGCTTGCAGAATGTTGAAGTCAAGCTTGGCAAATTCAAGCAAGAGAGGATTCATGTCATGCCTCTTACCGTACACATCCATGTACCAATGTGCTTCTAATCTTTTCACTCTCCAATGGTATGGCATCTCGAGGGCATGAATCACCATTTTCGTCATATAAGATTGAGTGTCATCATAATCGGTGTTCGATCTTTTTTCGAGAATTTCCCTTAGTCTCTCCGTCGCATAAGATCTAGCTTCTTTCAGTTTAGTATCCGATTTTGTTGTTAAGTATGAAGCTTCATAGAGAGAGAGGAGACCTTTGGAGTCATCATTTAAACTTGTCTCGAACTCCCCCGTCTTCTTTTCATTCATGAAAATGTTAAAAACATCTGCAATATATATATATATATATATATATATATATATATATATATATTCACCAAGAGGGTCATCAAAGGAGTCTACATCCATTTTACACATATCATTCACGAGAATCAGTTCGATTACCCAATAGATGTAAGTTTTCAAAAGCAATAGAAAGAATGTGACCCAACAGTGGGCGGCCCAGTGGCGAAGAGGTGACAAAGTCATCCTCGACGGATGAAATATTGAAGAAAATCATACAAGAATCAGATTCGATATGTTTTGGGTGTTTGAGCATATCAATAGTTTTATGATTTTCTATCCCATAAGAATATTGAATGTCACACCACAGCACGTGTCTCTTTGGATCTGACATCGGTCCTAATCACATTTTACATACCATTAGTTTTTAATATATTTACTTTCAATAATGATACTTTTGAAATATAGTTTATTACATCAATCAGATACAAAATGCGTAAAAAAATAATTTATTCTTTTATAAAAAGATAAAAATAAAAATGTTAAAATAATGATACTACTGGTCGTTCACTATATTTGTTTTTTATAAAAGATAACACATTGTAATATCGCTGCAATTTTTTTCCTTTTATTTTTTAAAGAAGAAAATATGTTTGGTTATTCATATTATACAATTAATATTGAAGTATGATAATTTATATTTTATATTTATTTTGTTTTGTAATATAGATGAAAAACTTTGTTTTCTTCGGAATCTTAGCAAAAGGACAATACTAATAATGTCCCCAAGGGCAAAGTGGTGAAACCGTAGCCCACTCACTCGTCGTGGACCATTGCTGTCCGAGACTCAGTACCACTCTCCCCTCTCTCTTCACCTCTCTCTTCACGTGAAATCTACTGTTCATGATTCGGTCAGTCCAAAAAAAAAAAACAATGGTGGTCACTCAAGAAAAATAAAAAATAAAAAAGGGGCAGGACTTTTCAAAACATTTCATATACATTATGATGTGAACCTCGCGGAACTAGTCACGAAACCCGACAACAATATATGAAATAAAGTAAGATCGACCAAGATAAAGGTTTTGGTGATGGATGGAATATCGACCCACTATCTATAAAGAGATAGAAACCGATATTATAGGAAAATATTGACTCGCTATCTATAAAGAGAGATAGAAACCAATATTATAAATATAAAGTAAATGAATATTGACCCGCTATCTATAAAGAGATATGAACCAATATTATAAAAGTTTAAGAACTACAAGCAAAAATTTGCAATTCTTAAAGCAAAGTTCAAAACGAACAAGTTGGAGAATAATCTCACAAGTTTCTTAATCTCAAAATGTCTACCTAAACCAAGCATAACAATAGGTTTATATAGGTAAAAGAAAACTTAGGAAATAAGAAAACAATAAAAGTGTCTTCCTTGAAATCAACCATGGTAGTTAAGTTGACTTCAAGTAACGAGACGCGTAATTTCGAGGCTTGTAAATGAAGTCAATCTTTTGACTCTCGAAATACGCTCTTTGCTTTGACTGATCTCCCATAAATTTTGCAATGTTTTCCCGAAGTTCTTGGCTCGTGCTCCCGAGATCGGCTCAATCGGAACGTAAAGCTCATCCTCGTGCTCGTTATTGGAATTTGTCCTTGAGCTCGTATCATCCTCCCCTTCTTCAAAAAGATTTGTCCTCGAATCTACATCAATATCAAAAGGAGAAAGATCAGAAACATTGAATGTCGAACTCACTTCATACTTACTTGGCAAATCGAGCTTATATGCATTGTCATGAATTTTCTCCAAGACTTGAAATGGTCCATCCCCACGTGGACTCAGCTTCGACTTTCGTTGGGTTGGAAACCTCTCCTTTCGAAAATGAACCCAAACCTAATCTCCTGGTTCAAAGGTGACGTGTTTCCTCCCTTTATTGGCTCGATTTGCAGTTTGCTCGTTCTTTTGTAGAATGTGTTGCCTCACGTCTTCATGAATTTTTTTCACCAAATCTGCTTTACGCTTTCCATCAAGGCTTACAATCTCACCAATAGGTAATGGAACCAAGTCCAACGGGGTTAGTGGATTAAAGCCATAAACGACCTCAAATGGAGAAAACTTAGTAGAAGAATGCACAACTCTGTTATATGCAAATTCAATGAACGGAATGCAATCCTCCCAGGATTTCAAATTTTTCTTAAGGATTGCACGCAACAAGGTTCCTAAAGTTCGATTTACAACCTCTGTTTGTCTGTCAGTTTGTGGATGACAAGTAGTGGAAAATAATAATTTCGTTCCCAACTTAGCCCACAAAATACGCCAAAAGTGACTGAGGAACTTGACATCACGATCACTCACAATGGTCCTAGGAATGTCGTGCAAACGCACCACCTCTTTAAAGAAGAGGTTAGCCACATGAGTTGCATCATCCGTCTTTTTACAAGGAACAAAATGAGCCATTTTTGAAAATCGATCCACGACCACAAAGATTGAATCCTTACCGGTTCTAGTCCTAGGCAATCCCAACACAAAATCCATTGATACGTCGGTCCATGGATGACTAGGAACAGGCAATGGCATGTAAAGTCCATGTGGTTGGATTTTAGATTTAGCTTTCTTACACGTCATGCATCGTGAACAAATTTTCTTGACATCACGTTTCATATGAGGCCAAAAGAAATGTTCTTTCAAAACATCTAATGTCTTGGCAACTCCAAAATGCCCCATCAACCCTC